GTGAAACATATATATATATATATCTACCAAGTTTACAAACATTTTGTTTAAAGTTCGTATTTCTGATTCCGGTCTGAGTGGTGACCTATTTCTCATTAGAAAATATGCGTCAGACTTACCATATTTTCCAATTACCAAATATTCCGAATAATTTTTGCATATCCTTATCCTAAAAGAATTTTTTCCTGCAGTAAAGCTAGACTTACTTCCATAGATTTCAGTTGAACACGTCTGTCCACATCCCAGTATGATGTGACTTAAACAGTCGCTGTATCAGTTGATCATGTAGACATGACAGAGTGGGATACATTCCAAGTACTCTGCACTGTAGGAGCTTCCCAGTAGTTGGTTGCATTCTAGCGGATTGGTGTTGTTGTTCAATAGGTTTCATCTTTTTGGGCANGTACAGACTAGTCGTAGATCTCGCAAAGTCCCGCGGGGCAATAATCAGAATGTGTCCACAAACGTTATGAGCTGTGCGAATGATTTGGCAAAACCTTTTCCCCCAAAATGCGTGTGTGGGCAACGATTGATGATTTCTTTTAGGTGTTTAACATTCATAATTGTAAGTTACTAAGGCATCCAAACAGCATAGAATGGTTGATTTATACAGATTCATTGTTGATTTTTTGATGAATTATTTTGCAAAATGCACGTCGCACGTCTTGGAGAGAAATAGAGAGGCTTACTGTATCCCATTGCTCTGTTGCAGCTTCTCAGTCCAGTGATTTTCAGTGATCACGGACGGGATCGTGAGATATTCTTGCAGAGGCACCTCAAATTCGCTCCACAAATTCATCAAACGGAAATCCCGATTGCTCACCGTGAAATGAAGCACAGCATCCGGCTTCACGGAAATGGTGGTCACGTGGCGAGAGAAAGGAATAGGAAACGTGTAAATTGTTCTACGGATCATGAATCGTCTACTTTGAAGTGTGCAACGGTTCAAATACAATAAAAATGTTCATCGAAAAACATTTGATCAAACTGTGTTTCATGAATAATTGACTAATTATTTGTTCCATATCTGCTGCTCTCAAATGAGCAGATATCTGCTTGTTATTCTTAAATCTATGCCCATGATCCCGTTTAGTATGAATTGATCGATTTTGGTCTAAGGATAGTTCGGTACAACATTGGTGATAACTGTTCTCTTTTCACTTTTTCTTCCTTTTATCTCTTACATGGTGGTACAATTTTCAGGCAAGGGGGAAGCGGCTGACTAAAGGGCTCTCGTAAGACATGGAAAAGAAAAACCCAGCGGGTGATGGGATTTTTTCATTACACACATTTGTGTGAAGAACAGCAGACGGGATGAACCCACAGTCACAAAGGCCTGCCGCTCCATCATGGAAACCGATAACCTAAGCCCCGGGACCTGCAGTGACAAACCACTGAAGGCCCCAATAGGTTAGGCGTGGTATTGAACTGGACGACAGCAAAGCTGTCAATCACCAGAGGTGGGGGGAGGTGGCAGGGCTCGAACCTCGAACCATAGGGCCCAAAGCACGTCGGTGACAGCGACTAAACCACTGCGCTAACACCGCTCATGCAGAGTGTTAATTGGGTTACCATTACCATTTGGCCACCATCACTGCGGTCATTGGTGAACAAATTATGAGCTTTAAACAGGTTTATGTTTTGTTTTATCTACTTATGACCTAGCAGTAGTTTCCTGCAAATTTCATTCCGACTATTGATACCGCAAAACAGGGAATCCGAAGTGTATTTCAAAATTGCACGCTAAACAAATCTGTATAGGGCAGTGTACTGAGTCATACCATCATGCATCTAGAAGGTCGTCTAGGTTGAGCCGTGGTCTTTCAATGGTATCTTACTAACCTCTAGCACGATGTGGTAAATCTCAAATACAGAAAATTTCAGTTTTTGTTTGGATCTCAGATTCTGCTTCGTATTTGAAATTATAAATGTGAAATGCATTAAAAACATGATATTGCTTCAAAATGGTATATTGCATAAGTGACAAATTGTTTTGCAGACAGAGAGTCCACTAAAATTAATTAATTTCTCAAATGACATTGGGTATCAATGAATCGTTAATTTTTACCCCTTGGCAATAAACTTAGGCTTCAGAGTCGGCTGTGCGGATCAGTGGGCACCAAATAAGAACGCATGTTGTCAAGTTCGTGCGTATGGCAACGCGAACAAATATAGCCATCAATGCACAAATGTGCCTCGACCCCTATTCAAGAAAATTTATTATTCGGTTTCTGTCAACATGCACTCAACCGTCCACCGAACAACCCAAAAGTACGTGGTTCACTCTGCAAATAAGTTCCAACAGTCGTAACACTTATCCCAACCCTTTGTCCGTAATCTTATAACATCAGATGTTCACGGTATCTCTGTTCACTTCTGCGTGAAACACCACAACTATTTGGGAGTAAAACTGCAGTCCAAAGAGATTACACAAAATTTCTACTTAGTAACTTTTATTGAAAAGAATATGTTTGGCATAAAGTCACAGCAGACGTGTCACACTATTGTGTGCATAAGATTCAATTCAAATGAAGCGCGTTAATTAGTTGTGGAATGGCACCCTTCCACTTGAAAAAAATCCCGGAACATGTTTTGGACACGTCCTCTACGAAATCCCGGATCAACTGAGGGTCCTCTAAGTTTATTCATGTTTTACCAGGATAATTCCAATCTTTCTAATATTTAGCGGGGACAAATCGAACCGTTCTATCTCATGGAGCACATTGCGCATGAACTAACCGAACGATGCAACCAATCAACGCACAACCTTGGTGTATCAGACGATCCCAACACAAGGAAAGTACAATGTGCATATGCCGTCGCAAGCATCATCTCAGCTAAAGATAAGTGCAGACTTATACAGTTGATCACCAATTCCACCCCACAACTAAAGGCTGTTCTTGAATTAAACGATTAACAATGTAAGGAAGTCCGGATGATAGCAGGGAACAGCTAATACCAATTTTTTCACTTCATTTCAGTAAATTCTGTCTTAGTTGTCCCAAAACATCAAAACACACACAGGCACTCCGAGTATACTTCAGACAAACTTTATACAAATCGCGGTGCCGATATGTTCAATTTGCCTATAGGTCTTAATGTTCCGATGTGCTCACCTGACTAATAATATCCAAATGTTCTCAGTTGAATCGGGATAAAGACTGCACTTTGGTAGCTCTGAAATTTTAAAGTTTCTAAAGTTTTCAAGCTGATCAGTAACCTCGTGTTTGTGATTTATAACACGTGTATTACGATCTTATCACTTTGACAAAATGTAAACCCATACATCTTCCTTTTATGATAAAATGGCAAAAGGTAAACTTCAGGTGTCTTTATGTGAGCTGATTATCCCCGAAGATTATCCCCGGGTTCGAAATAACCATAGGAAATGCATTCCAGTAGACAGTTAGTCAGTATAGTGCTCATTAAATATGATTCATTCTTTCGTGGTATCCAGCTCATAGTACTATGAATCAGCCTATCCTCCTTGTTAAATTTTTTCTAGTCGTGACATATCGCTTTCTTCTATGGGTGGGTCCATAATACGCAGTTTTCGGCCTAATGTAACCACATTGACTGAACAAAACTATTTCGGTAATGAAGTTTGGCAAAAAAAAAGTATTGCGTATGTCGTGTTGAAGCGGTTAGTCCACACTTGATCTGAGCTGCCCCAGTCCAGGGATCACGTGTGATGCTTAGCACTCCAGTTAGAATGCTCAGAATTGCGAATTTTTCCCACGGATTTGTGAACGCAGGCATTTCTCGAGTAATGTCGAATAGCCACTGCTGTGAGAATAGCACCGAGTTGTGCGCTAATGCTTGACTGTGCGTACGCCTCCATTCCTCCGCTTACAATACGTATAGACACCTTATGTGAGTGTGACAATCGATTAACTTAGAAAAACGCACCAAACTCTAGATGATCATCTAACCAACACTAGTAACACTAGTAAAACAATACACAGTCCGCGGAAGCCTAATGTCTCAATGGCCCGGCTGGAGGGTCTCCAATAATTTTGTCGCACTTGATGTAGACATGCTGGTCAATCGAGTTTCCATGTTGTTGTGTTGGAGAAGGTCTTTGGAAAAGATTCACAATCTCTATATATCGAAGACTGAGTCTGAGACCACGCTGAAGAAGGAATGACTAACTATCCAATAAAAGATGTTCCGGAATCTCACAGAGGATAGGTGAACTTTATGAAGCGGAATAGTCGCCTCATACCATAGTAGGTTGAATTATATCCCATGCGTTTGTTTTAGTGCTATATTAAACAGTATACGTAATATATTCTTTCAGATAAACTACTATATGTGGTTTTTACTCGATCAAAGTCTCGTTAATAGAAAATGTTTATTGCATTTCATGTAGATGTCAAGGGTATTACTGTGAAAATCCTGGGGTGAAGGAGGGGGTAATTATGAAATGTTTGCAGCGGATTGTACTTAAGCATTATTCAGACTACAGAAGTACTAGTATGATTAGATTCGTACATCGTACAATTCTGGAGTTCGAGAGTAAAATGGACGGTGTTTTCATTCCCTCTGAACTGGATTGAACCGTAAAAGTCATTGGTTGATTAGCACGCTGCATTTTAAGTGACACTCGGATATCACGAAAATGCGCACAAATGGGGAAACGCTAGACATCATCGAGTTGTATTGCATAGTCAAACCATTTTGATTTATGTCAGGTAATGATCTCTGTACCGAGCCAAGGAAAACCATCTCTCGTTGAATTTCGATCCGTCAAACCTGTACTTCCATTTTTCTTGCCTTTAGTTTACAACGACGACAGATCTTAAAATGGTCATTCCGCTAAATTCGATCCTCTGCATCTGGCAAGGAACATTGCGGGTAGCGAAGGTGAAATCTTCTTCCGACTTACTCGAGTGATTGTGAAGTTTAACATATTCGGTAAGTCTGGTTCTAAATGATCTCCGAAATCTATTGATTTGGCCAAATAGTACATTGGACCGTGACCACCAAATTCGTACACCTGTTCACAGTTTCTGAAGAGCAACATGAAAAGAAAATTTTTACAATACATTCAAGCTGATTTGCACTGACAAATTAGAGCTACAAGGTTGTGTATCTCGCTGCTACTCACCTTCCAGGCCCTTGGAATAGAATCCGTTTTACGAATGCTAATCTGAAAAGAATGTATAAATGTTATTCATGATAATAGTTGCAAATCAATTAACAATTGAAAAAGTTGAATTTACAGGGGAGAGGTTCAGCTATCTGCTTAGTCAGTGTTGATCTGCCTAATTCCCGAATCGATAAATGACACGGTCGTCAGGAGGGAGCTATGATCGAACTTGTTCATGGAATCGGTTCACAAAAATGAAATGGATGCGTGCAAAGCTATGAACATCAGAATAAATAGAAAAGAGTTATTTCCTGCCTTTTTGCGATACAAGGGACAATTCTTCCTTGTTGAACATCCAACCTATCCATAGGAGTTGAAATCAGGAAATTGAATAAAATCGGATGCGTAGGTACTGAAAGTGTGAAAACCGAAATGACAATCGATACGTAAAATGCCATTGACCTAAATGCCACAACGGACAATATCTAACGGTGATTAGATACGCGGCGACATGGGAGAAAACAGAACGCTATTTCTGAAATTTAGTAACCACTGGTCGTGATATGCATAGTTTCAAGTAGGACATATCATGGCCCCATGAAAGAGTCGACGAGTAAAATGTGACGGTTTAAGAGGATGATCATGCATTGGTG